GGTGTCGGCCATCATCCCGCGCCTGCTGAGCGACATGTTGACGTCCAGCCCCCGGCGGCTCATCTCTTACAGCAGCTGTGCTTTCCAGGCCTTTTGTGCTCACGTGTACGCCAGCGCCTCACACACGGTGCTCATGATCATGGCCTTTGACCGCTACATGGCGATCTGCAACCCGCTGCGCTACCCAAGCATCATGACGGGCCGGATGGTGCTGAAGCTGTCGGTGTGGGCCTGGGCCACGGTTCTGCTCATGGTTCTGGTTCTGGTGGGTCTGAGCGTCCGCCTGTCCCGCTGCAGGGGGTTCATAGCCAACCCGTTCTGTGACAACGCCTCTTTGTTTAAGCTGTCCTGTGAGGATGTTATGATCAACAACATCTACGGGCTGGGCTACACCGTGGTTCTGCTCGGCTCGTCCCTTGGGACCATCACGCTCACCTACCTGCACATCGCCGTAGTGTGTCTGAGGAGCTGGACCAGGACTGGAACCAGGAACAGTCAGGCCCTACAGACCTGCGCCACACACCTCATCCTCTACATCATCATGTTCATGTCAGGCGGCATCATCATCATTCTCCATCGTTTTCCTGAGCTGTCAGACTCCAGGAAGATGGCCTCCATCATGTTTCATGTTGTTCCTCCTGCCATGAACGCTGTGATCTATGGGCTGCAGATCAAAGCCATCCGGCAGAAACTCCTCATCCTGTTCATCAGGAACCGCTGACAGACAGGAAGTCACCAAACGTTGTTAAGAGGAAAAATCTAAGGAAAGAAAGTTTGACCCAGATGCAGAAGAGCTGAAAGCAAAGATGGTGCAATCAAAACAAAACACTCAAGAACATTCAAGCTTCATTTATTCCATAATTGTCATTTTTAATCAAATGTTTTAGAAGGAGATTTAAGACCAGGTGAGCTGAAGGCCCGGCCCATTCTGAAACCCTGGTTCTGATGGACCCGGGACAGAATCAGCTGTTATAGAATCAGCTTCTGGTCCATAGACCAGAACATCAGATGATTCATTTATTCCATTCAAAACGTGAAACTTCATTCATCACACACACACACACACACACACACACACACACACACACACACACACACACACACACACACACACACACACACGCACGCACGCAGGAAGACGAGTCGAACACCTATTATACATCGAACCTATCCAGATGTTTAAAGATCAAAAACCAACAGGGTTCGCGAGGTCATAGGTCATGTTTTATGAGTAGGAAACTGTGACCTTAGGGGTGTAGACGCTTGTCTCTGAGGAGCTTCCTCAGAGTTCTCCTGACGGCGACTCGGAGTTCATTGTTTCTCAGACTGTAGATCATCGGGTTCAGAAAGGGTGTCGGAGCTGAGTAGAGAACAAAAACGATGATGCACACCTGCAGAACAAGACCAGAGAAGGTCATCAGGTCATCACTCGGACCTGCAGGAGGAGACCTTTTCTAGGTTGGTTAAGCTCTTCCAGCAGCTGCGTCTCCGAGTCACACAGAAGTGGTTTTACTTTTATTCTGGCGGTTTCCGGGAGGAAGACGACTCCTCGCTGTAGACAGAACAGGAAGAGCTGCTCAGCTACTCAGGCTGTTTCCACCATCAGCGTCCAGCGACCTCCACCAAGCATCATACGCAGGAATTTGCCTCCATTTTAGCCAAAGGGCGCATCACATTTTAGAATCATAGTGGCGATTCGCTGTGCTACGCATGGGCGTCACTAGGATTGAGATATAGGGGGGGCTCAGCCCCAGGAGCTTGACCTTGAACGTTTTTTGTCACACCCTGCAAAAACTTTGTCAATTAATTCATAATATGAAGAACATTTAATAAAACCTATTATTTTATCACTTTCTTTTCCTTTCCTACCTTTGTGCATTTTCTCTCTTCTTTTTATAAAAAATAACACTTAATCAGTTCATTAGTGGGGTCTATGTTGAAGAAAGATTTTATATAAGTCCATTAAAAATTAGATGTTATATTTCCAAATAAAGCTATTCATTTCAGCCTACTGCACTTAACAGGGGGAAATGTTGTAGTCATTTATTTAATTTGTTTAATTACAACTTGTTTAATTATAAATGTTACTGAAATGTGACAATAAAGAACAAATGAATAATTGTCAAACTTTTATTCTGCCAAATGAGTGTGCAGTTGACAGTTTTATATGAATAACACTGCTATGATATGGAATAAAGGAGTATATAATTAACAATTACAAGACAAAATAACAGTATATATGAAAATACCCAGCAAGTAGTAGAACTTATAATACAGAAAGTCAACTATACAGATACAACTTGACATGAGGTTGCAGGCCAGATGATAATTATAGTTATTTTTTTCTCAGTGTCTCTTACCTGTTCACTCCTAAATAGAAAACTGTTCAATTTTGCTTGGGAACTTTGTGCTCAGGTAAATGCTCATAACGGTGCACTCGCCCCTGTTTTCGCTGTAGATCACTGACCTTGGCCATGCAGATCTCCTCAGCATCAACCACCTGGTCTCTCTCCTGTTCCTCACTCACTCTCTTAAAAAAATCTTCGTATATCCATCTAGCCAACACATTGAAAAACATTTTCAATTTCTAATGCCAAAAAAAATGCTACTATGCCATTTAGTTTTCACTCACAATAATTGAAACAGCCATTGGTGGATAAATGGGACAGAATATGGACAAATGTTAGCCTAATATAGCCTATGCTTGGTTGCTCATGATGATGGCATTTTCCATAACGTCACATCGAGCTGCCAAAATTTATGTTAAAGTTAGATGAGTACAATATCTCCTTTCTTTCCCATAGGTGCACATAGGAAATATTAAGCAACTGACAACCCACATGGAAAGAATTCATAAAAACATATTGGTTTTAATATATGTTCTGATGTAGCTTTTGAATACATGTGACATATATAAAATTGGCTGTTTACTATATTATAGATACATATATGTACCTATAATATAATATGTATATTATAGAAAAAATATATGATATAGAAAATGGTCAATAATAAACACATTCGGCCATATTCTGATTCAGGTTTTTAGTGTGGAGTGATTTTTGTGCCACCAACTGGAGCGTGCAGTGATAAATCTGCAAGAGCACAACCTGCTCTGCAGTCGTGGGCAGCCCTCTCTCTGCATGCTCAACTCCGTCTCTGCCTGCACAGATCTCTCCCTGCTGTTGCTCCAGGAAATACTGCCAGGAAAATTGCACTTTTTTCAGATAAAGAGGACTTTATATAATTATATTTAATTAGGTTGATTGACCCTCCTCTTTTCCTGGGACATTTCCACTGTTCACTTCCTTTTACACATCAAGGGATCATTTATGTCTAACCAAACAGAGAAGAAACACTTTATATGTTGAAATTAAAAGTCCTCTTTAACTGAAAAGAGTGCAATTTAACAGTTTTAGGAATGGGCAATGTGTCTTTTCTGGAAGTCAAATATGGTCACCCTAATCATGACACATGAATTACAACAAAGTATTTTGCAGGCAGTGGATGGTGACTGGTAGCTAACCGGCAGCAGAAAGCTGTTCAATAAGCTGTTAAATGGGTGTTTTTCTGTAAAGCAGTGTTTCCTGGACATGCTTTGATTGGATAAAACAGAGCTGTCTGTGATTGACTGTTGGAGAGGTTACTTGTTGAAAGAAGGGAGAGATTTGCATGCACAGAGACAGAGTTGAGCCCACAGAGAGGGCTGCAGCTGCTGCACACGAGCACAGAACAGGTTCTGTTTGTGCAGACTCATTACTGTACGCTCAAGTTGGTGGCACTAAGTCACTCAATGAACTGGCTGGCTCGTTAATCACGTCACTTCAGGGGAGTTTTCTGACCATTTTACTTGACATCAAAGCTTTTCATTATGGTTTGTGGCATGTAAACATGCTAGCGGAGTTAGCATTAGCATGTCGGTGCGGTAGCATTTTCCTCTCTCTGAAGTCTGAACTATAACCTTGAAATGTTAACGGTGTGCTGCTGTTGCTGTCTTACACTAATGTGATGTTGAGTGACTTACAAGAGCGCTGAGCAGGGTTTGCTCATCGACATATAGGTTTTGCTGTACCCGCCCCCTGACTTGTCAACAAAGCTGTCGGGGTTAAGGAAGTGGAGGAAGTCCTTTCTTGATAGTTCCTGTGTGCGACGGTGTAGTTCTATATTCATTAATTATTATTTCTGTTTCAGACTAAAAAAACTCCTGTACCAACTACACGTGTCGTGATTGTGTTGAGCATGTAGATGTGAACAAATAAAAAAAAGTTAACTGAAAAAAATTAAATAACCAAAATGATAGGGGGGGCTTGTGATTAAGCTGAAGCCCCCCTAAAACGGACCCAACGACGTCAGCGAGTGCTACGTTTACACCAAGAGCCTTTCTGTTACGCTCTCAGTTTGTGTCATTATCTGCAGCTCAGATTGGGTCAGACAGGAAGTCAATGGCCCTGAAATGTTTTACCACATTATGGGTTGAAAGTTATAGTTTTTATTTAAGCAAGAGGGTCTCTTCTCCAATTAAAACACTTTGATTCCAGCTTTTGGGGTGACTGAAGTTTTCATAGTTCACCAGTTGAGGAGATCCTTCCAAGGTGAGTCTTGGATGTAAACCCTAACTGCTACTTCTCCATCCGTGTGGAGACCAAGCCCCCACAATGCGGGACAGAAGCGAGCAAATCCTCATTGACTCCCATGTTAAAAATACCAATTTCACAGCAGAAATAAACATGTTTACAGCCTGGTTCCAGAACATGTTTTTGGTTTAAATGATCTAGTTTACACTCATGACAACTCTGAGGGGGGTGAATTTTTTTTCTCACACTTCTGTTTAAGTGTATTAAAAGCCTAAAATTTTGTATAATTAATGAGCATCAGACCCACGTGACCACAGAGCTAGCTCCGGGGAAAGGCCTCAGTAGAGCCTCGGCCTTGCCTGAAAACTGTTCCGTCAGTTTCAGTCTCTCAACTTAGACCATTAGTTGCAGCGTGTGTGCGTTCATTTGGGATATTATTTGTGCAATTGTTGGACAAAATGACTTGCTGTGGCATTAATTGCACTAATAGAGCGTCCAAGGAGTCTCCACTTCATTTTTTTCGGTAAGTAAAATTATGTTTATGTATTTTAGGTCACTGCCGAGCTGAGCTTAGATTTTAACATGTACTGTTTAACCATGAAATTTAAATGTAATAGGGTAAAACCCAGTGCATTTAACATAATGCTGCACTTTAGAAAATGGGTTGAAATATAACATGTTGGTGGAGCTGGGTTCCCACTATCGGCTGGTGGAGCTCTCGGAGACCTCTGTGTTCCACCCGGTTTTACCCAGCGGTCAGCCCGGCGTATCTCTGACTCAGAAGCTCTGGTGTTGTGCACAGTTAACTCCTGTTGTAGCTAGGTTGCTACCTCCGTTAGCTTAGCTCCCACCTCTAGCATCGTCTCGATACCCATCGTTTTCGTCACTGCTTCGGCTCCGCCCTCTCGGTCTGCCAGGCAACGCCTACTAATGTTGCAGTTTTTAAAATACGTGGGTGGAGAATGACTCTGAGGCACGCTTGACCCACTCTTTAAACATGGGACTAACTGACGTTTTACAGTCTAGTTAATCTGAAATATTTACACACAGATGTAGCATCCAGCAATGGTCAGTTTAGGTACAGCCTGACATCTATTCAACATCTGGTCAGAGAGGAGACACAACATTGCACGTGTTCCCTTTAAACAAGTCTGCCTTCACACAAGCTGGGATTCAGACTCCACAAGTCTAAATCATAACATTAACTTACTTTCCTCAAGGTCTCAGCTGCAGAAGACAGAAGATCCAGCTCAAATCAGTGCTGATGTCAAGAATGATTTTAGTAAATCAATATGAACTCCTATGACTTATAATCTAGACAATCATTACATAATCATTTGTTTATGACTACTCATTATAATTATAGTATTATGAAATGAAATGCTTCATTAATTGTGCTCATTGACTGGATGTTGTTTATCTACTAGAATGCAAAGTGTTCCCCGTGTTTTGACGACAAGGTCCACACACCTGCACATCCACCATAACAAGTACGACTAAGTTAAAGTCCCATATACATAGCTAAAACCTTTTACCCAGATCAGGACTTCCATATTAAAGAAGACGTGTTTCTGAGAGTTGCCTTGGTAACGTCTTCCTTTCTGTCAGCCTCTGACTGGCTGTTAAAATCATAACAGCAGAACAAAGCTGAATTGTTCACTTCTTAATAGTTATTTCTGAGACGCAAGCTGATTCCATCCGGTGATGCCTGGTGACATCTCTTGAGATTGGAGAAAGTTGGTGCTTACGGTCAATCTACCGGACCTGGGTGCCCTGAGCTCATCCGACCTCTTCTGACCTCCGGATCCGGATGAGGGTCAACCAAAGGGTGAGAGTAGAACACAGAGAGATTGCGTCTGAATGTGCTTTGATAACAATCAACCTCATAGTTTATTGCTAACCAAATTCTTTTTCATCTGGAGACGCCGCTCTCTGAGATTCAGAAGTTCTGACCGACACCTCATTTACACATAGCCTACATCACCTTTAGACCCATCCATTCACGGTAAATGTTTAGTTCACTTGTCGTGTTTTTCTTGTAACAAAAATCATTTTTTACTGTAAACCTGACTCTTTCATGAATTAAAACAAAGTGTGTATAATTGCTTAATAAAGAAAATTCAGTTCAATTCAGTTTTATTTATATAGCGCCAAATCACAACAAGAGTCGTCTAAAGGCACTTCACATAATAAACATTCCAATCCAGGTCAGATCATTAAGCTGATCAGAAAAAATGTTTCCTATGTAAGGAACCCAGCTAATTGCATCAAGTCACTACAGCAATCCTCATACTAAGCAAGCATATAGCGAAAGTGGAGAGGAAAACTCCCTTTTAACAGGAAGAAACCTCCAGAGGATCCTGGCTCAGTATAAGCAGCCATCCTCCACGACTCACTGGGGATCGAGAAGACAGAGCAGACACACACACACACACACACACACACGCACGCACGCACGCACACGCACACACACACACACACACACACACACGTAGTGTTTCTATGGTTACATTATGAGTTCTTAGTAAATCTATTTGGTGAGAGATCAACTTTATTGTATTTATCCTAGTGAATCTATAATTAAACAGATAAACTAGTAGTAGCACATTCAACGTCAAAGAGAGTAAAAAGTTATTATCAGGAGAGGGAGAATGTTTAAGTGGTTAGCAGCAGTGTGCTAGTCGATGGCCCCCTCCATGAGGCCACCACAGCTCAGCAGAACATCGTTGTAGCTTCTTCTGGGGAGAAAAACACTTAGAGAAAAAATAAATTTAACAGCTGAAATAACAGGAAATAATACAGTTAAAGAGCAGACTGTAGAACAAAGCAGTAGAGTGTGAAAAGTGGTCAGTGTATCCTCCAGCAGTCTAAGCCTATAGCAGCATAACTACAGAGATAACTCTGGATAATCTAGCCTTTTAGATGG